TCTATCTCAGCCTGTTGCTATGCAGCCCGTTGCTATGCGCGCTATATACGTCATCGCGCCAGAAGGGCAAGGAAACGAGCATGCGCAGAAAGACCGGAATGAATTTAAAGAGGAATGAGTGTATACATGCACACAAAATTCTTTCATTCGGAATGACAAACGGAATAAACCACCCCCTTTAATCGGATTTAATTTTCAATCGGAATGACCGTTTACATGATCACTTTTAATCAGAATGGCCTTTCATTCAGATTAAAAGTGGAATTAAACTGTGCATGTAAACGTACTGAATGTTGGGATGGGGCTCTGACACCTGGACAGTATCTACACCAACTGCCTGAGAAAGAGAGCCAGCAGCTTGTCCAAAGACAGAAGTCATCTCAGCCACCCACAGTTTGAACCACTGACTGAGGAAAAGCTTCTTCCCCGAAGCTGTGGCCCCCATTATACCTCACAACCCCCTACCCCACCCACCCACAACAGTAACTCAGACTGATAACACACCCACCTTTAGGAATGACTACAGATGCAATATTGCACCATTAGATCCAGCAGAGCGTCTCCTCAGGGACTGCTTTTACATGTTAATATATGTATGTGGCTGTCCTGCAGATACTATGAAAGTAGTACTTGTTTGTGTCATATGTATTTATGTGTTTGTTTAAATGTTGATCCTTGCACAGATGTCACTCAAAGCTTTGTTGTACCTTGTAAATTGACAATAAAGTCCATTCTGCTATATAAAGTCCATTCTTGTACTTTTTTCGAAATACTACTATGAAGGATTTTTTTTTTTCACTTTTTTTTGACATACTATGATATTTTTACCACTTTTTTCGACATACTATACTATGGCGTTTTTACCACTTTTTCTGACATACTATACTATGGCGTTTTTACCACTTTTTCTGACATACTATACTATGGCGTTTTTACCACTTTTTTCGACATACTATACTATGGCGTTTTTACCACTTTTTCTGACATACTATACTATGGCATTTTTACCACTTTTTTCAACATAGTATACTATGACTTTTTTTTATCACTTTTGTCGACATGCTATACTATGGTGTTTTTACCACTTTTTTCAACACACTACACTGTGACTTTTTTATCACTTTTTCGACATACTATACTATGGCATTTTTACCACTTTTGTCAACATACTATACTATGGGATTTTTATCACTTTTTTCGACATACTATACTTTGGGATTTTTATCACTTTTTTCGACATACTATACTATGGCGTTTTAATCACTTTTTCGACATACTATGATATTTTCACCATTTTTTGCGACATACTATGGCCTTTTTTTTTTTTTTTTTAAACTTTTCGACATACTATACTATGATATTTTTACCACTTTTTTCGACATTACTATACTATGATATTTTTACCATTTTTTCGACATACTATACTATGGCATTTTTACCACTTTTTTCAACATAGTATACTATGACTTTTTTTATCACTTTCGTCGACATACTATACTATGATATTTTTACCATTTTTTGCGACATACTATACTATGGCATTTTTATCACTTTCTTTGACATACTATGATATTTTTACCACTTTTTTCGACATACTATACTATGATATTTTTACCATTTTTTGCGACATACTATACTATGGCATTTATTTTTTTTGACATACTATACTATGGCATTTTTACCACTTTTGTCAACATACTATACTATGGCATTTTTACCACTTTTGTCGATATAGTATACTATGGCATTTTTACCACTTTTTTCGACATACTATACTGTGACTTTATCACTTTTGTCGACATGCTATACTAGGGTGTTTTTACCACTTTTTTCAACACACTATACTGTGACTTTTTTATCACTTTTTCGACATACTATACTATGGCATTTTTACCACTTTTGTCGACATACTATACTATGGCATTTTTACCACTTTT